TATCTCTTTGAGTCCCTGCTTTCACTTCTTTTAGATATATACCCAGAAGTGGAATGGTTGGATCACATGGTAATTCTGTTTAATTTTTAAAAAAAAACACCATATTGTTTTCAGTAGTGACTATACCGTTTTACATTCTCACCGACTACAAAGTTTGGAATTCTCCAGTCTTGTTAATCCTTATTTTGTTTGTTTTCTTGGTAATAGCCATCCTAATGGATGAGAAGTGGCAATTCTTTGTAGTTTTGATTTGCATTTCTCTAATGATTAGTGACACTGAATATTTTTTCATGTGTTTATTGGCCATTCGTATACCTTCTTTGGATAAATATTTAAATTCTTTGCTCATTTTTGAATTGGGGTGTCTACTTGTTATGTTCTAAGCATTCTTTATGTATTCTGGCTATTACTCCCTTCTCAGATACACAGTTTTACAAATATTTTCTCCCATTCCACAGACTGCTGTTTTACTCTATTGACTTTGTCCTTTGACTTCTGTCCTTTGACTTTGTCCTTTGACTTTGTCCTTTTACTTTGATTTTGAGGTTGTCTAGTATACTATTTCTTTCTTTTTCGCCTGTGCTTTTGGTCTCAGATCCAAAAAATCATTACCAAATCCAATCTCATGAAACTTTTCTCCTACATATTCTTCTAAGTTTCAAAGTTTTAGGTTTTAATTTTAGTTAACTCATTTTGAGTTAACTTTTGTATATGCTGTTAGGTAAGGTTCTACTTTATTCTTTTACATGGAGATATCTTGTTTCCCTAGCACCATTTGTTGAAAAAACTGTCTCTTCCCCACTGAATGGTCTTGGCAACTTTGTCAAACAAAAACCATTTGGCCATATATTTGAGGATTATTTCTGGGCACTTTATTATATTCTTTTGGTCTTTATGTTACTACCACCGTATTTTGATTACTGTAGCTTTGTAGTAAGTTTTATAGTAAGCTTTGTAGTAAGAAAGAAATCAGGAAGCATGAATTGTCCAAATTTGTTATTTTTCAAGACTGTTTTGAGATTCCATATGATTTTTTTCTATTTCTGCAAAAAAAAAAAACACAAATCCATTGAGTTTTTTTTAAAGATTTTATTTATTTATTCATGAGAGACAGAGAGAGAGAGAGAGAGAGACAGAGAGAGAGAGAGAGAGAGAGAGGCAGAGACACAGGCAGAGGGAGAAGCCGGCTCCATGCAGGGAGCCCAACGCGGGACTCGATCTCAGGTCTCCGGGATCACACACTGGGCTAAAGGCGGTGCTAAACCACTGAGCCACCTGGGCTGCCCCCATTGAAATTTTGATAGTGATAACTACATCATTGCTTTGGGTAGTACTGATATCTTAACAATATTAGCCTTCTAATCCACCACCAGGGGGTGTCTTTTTATTTAATTAATTAATTAATTATTTTTAAAGATTTATTTATTCATTTGAGAGAGAGAAAGAGAGTGAGTATGCATGCAGGGAGGGGAGGGGCAAAGGGTAGGGGGAGAGAGAGAGCACAGAGCCCAACTCGTGGCTCAATTTCATGACCCTGAAATGACCTGAGCTGAAACCAAGAGTCAGACACTTAACCAACTGTGCCACCAAGGTGCCCCTATCTTTACAATTATTTGTGTCATCTTCAATTTCTTTCAGCAATGCTTTATATTTTTTAGTATACAAGCCCTCTGTCTCCCCGGTTAAGTTTATTCCTAATTATTTTATTCTTTTTGATTCTATTGCAAATAAAATTATTTCTCTTAATTTCCTTTTCAGATTGTTCATTGTCAGTATATAGAAATGCAATTGATTTGTGTTGACACTGTTTCCTGAAACTTTGTTCAATTTAATTATTACCTCTTAACATTTTTGTGTGTGTGTGTGGAATCTTTAGGGTTTTCTATATACAAGATCTGCAAAAAGAGCTAATTTTATGTCTTCCTTTCCAATTTGGATCCTTTTTTTCTGTGCCTAATTGCTCAGGCTAGGACTTTATTATGTTAAATGGAGATGGCAAAAGCAGTCATCCTTGACTTATTCCTGATCTTAGAGGAAGATCTTTCAGTTTTTTTTAACTATGATGTTCTCTGTTGAGTTTTTCATAAATTGTCTTTATTATGTTGAGATCTTTTCCTTCTATTCCTAGGTTGTTGAGTTTTCATCATAAAAGGGTATTGAATTTTGTCAAATTCTTTTTCTGCATCAATTAGATGATCATGTAGTTTTCCCCTTCATTTTGTTAATGCGGTATATTACACTGATTGATTTTCATGTGTTGAACTATCTTTACACATCAGAAATAATCCAGTCTGGGACTGCAGGGACCCTGTCAGTACAGTGGGCAAGTATTTAAAAATGACACTAGCCTGAGCTGAAGTAACAGGACACTCCCGTGGAGACTGTCTCTGACATCAGCTTGAGCTATATTTATTAGTTTCTGACACTAATATGTACCCTAGGGCTAGGTACCCTAGCCCAGCCAGGGGCCTACACAGATGGGGGCTCTAGGGCCTAACTGAGGTCCTGTGCTGAGCTGGCCTGGACTGCACTTGCTGTCCTGGGGGTTCCAGGACAAAACCGGTACCAAAACCTATCTCCAGGAGTTTCTGCCCCTGCTCCTCAAGAACATCCAGGAAGGGCCAGGGAAGCTCCAGCTGCTGTGCTGCACCCTAAGCAAGGTGTTGGATCACCACTGCAGCCTGCTGGCACTCATGAAGTTCTTCCTAGACATGACCTTCTGGAGCAGATAGCTTCGAAGCCAGCTCAGCCTTATACTCATTGCCTTGATGCTAGATCAGCAAGAGACATACTCCCTCTCTGGCAAGAGAAGGCCCACTGTCTTTGCTCAGCTGGCTCCTGACCCTCATGAGGCCATCATCCCTCTTGTAGTACCTGGACTCTGAGACCTTGCAACCCTGCCAGGAGCAATAGCCAAAAGCCAGTGCCAAATTAGACCACAAGGTCTGCTACCTGTGCCACAGCTTTCTGACACTGGCCAGGGTGATGGCCAGGACATTACTCCAGACCAATGGGGAGAGATGCAGCTTGCTGTGCAAGCAGTTGCTCTGGCATATTAGCACCCATATCCAAGAGAGCCCCCGGCCACACACCGAACCAGATTCAAGGACTTGGCTGCTCAGACCTACATCTGCTGGCAGAAACTGCTGGCCCACTGCCAGACCCAAGTCCTGTAAAGGACTACAAAGACTAAGGGAGGCCCTGGAAAGGCCAAGGTGGCAGGGCAGCGGTGGCCCTAGACTCTTGGCACTTGGGTGAAATGAACAGGGCTCAGGGAATACGAGGGAGTGAAGAATTGAGGCCAGAGGAGGACCATTGTGATAAAGCAAGAGCCTGCCTCAGCACTGCCCCTGAGCCCCACCAGGCAATGGATGTGGCCTCTCCCTGCCTGGCCCACTTCTCAGCTCTCTTCTGCCAGCTGTCTCCTCTGCTACAGAGCCTTTGTCTCCACACTCATTTCCCTAAGGCCTCCTCACTTTCCTTCCTCTATCAGTAATGTGAGCTTTCTTTGTGCACACTGAAGTCTTATTTCAGAAAAAGAAAAAATAAAATGGGTGCATGGGCATTTACCCATGACAAGAAACATGCCTTGTTTGCTATAATACAGAGGCAAATAAGCACTCGAAAATCTGCTCAACATTATTAGCCATGAGTCAAATGCAAATTAAACCCACAATGAGATAGTGCGACATACTCAGAAAAATGTCTGAAATTAAAAATAGTAACAACACCAAAGGCTGCTGAGGATGTAGAGAAAATGAATCATTTATACACTGCTAGTAAGAATGTAAAATAGTTCAGGCACTCTGGAAAAACAATTTGCCGGCTTTTTATAAACTAAGCATGTATTACCATACGACCCAAGAACCGTACTCTTGAGCATTTATCGCAAAAAAGGGAAAACCTATGTTCATACAAAAACCTGTACATAAATGTTCTCACCAGTTTTATTTCTAATGGGCAAAAACTAGAAACAATCCAAATGTCCTTCAACCAGTGAGTTGTTAACAAAAGTGTGGTATATCCATGTCATGGAACACTTTTCAGTCATAAAAAACAAGTGACTAATGATATATGCAACAATTTGGATGGAAATGCAAGGGAATTATGCTGAACAAGAAAAGCCAAGATGAAAAGGTTACATATCACAGGGTTCTATTCATAGAACATTCTCAAAATGCCAAAATTGTAGAGATGGAACAGAGAATGGATTAGTGGCTGCCAGAGGAATAGCATGAGGTAGTCTTGTGTTGATGGAAGAGTTATGTATCTTGATTGTGGTGATGGTAATATGAACTTACACATGTGATAAGTCTAATAAAACTACACACACGCACACATGAATGAATGCATGTAAAACTATTTAATTTGAATAAACTATGTGGCTTGTAACAATGTCAATGTACTATTTTTTGAAGATGTTAGAATCGGGGGAAGCTCAGTAAAGGAGATTTCCCTGTGTTTTAATTTTTTTTAAAGATTTACTTATTTTTTTTTAAAAAAAGCTTTACTTATTTTAGAAAGAGTGAGAGAACTCGCACACAAGTGGGAGGGGTAGGGAGAGGGAGAGAGAATCTCAAGCAGACTCTCCACAAGGCTCGATCCCACAACATGGAGATCACGACCGTAGCCAAAACCAAGAGTCAGATGCTCAACCTGCCATGCCACTCAGGTGCCCACCCCCCACCATGTTTTTTTAATGACTTCCTGAATATAATTATTTCTATGTAAAAAGTTTAAAAAGAAAACACAGCTACCTGAAGTTATAATTAAGGTACTATAATATATATCTTTAAACATTTATGTTTTATCAAAGCTAGTTATCAGAAATCCATGTTTATAGAGGTGTGATTTTCCAGAAATGATAGGGTATACTGTTTGTGTTAAATAAGAAATGGAGCATATCTCCATGTGTTACATAAATGTAGCAGGATGACTACAGGAGGAGCCTGTAATATTACCCTATCATACTATGATCATGACCATAGTTCCATAAGTACCTGCAAAAGCCATGCAAACATGGTCATCAAGGGCACAAATCTTTCTCACAGTTCTTTCATCTTGAAGCTTGGCAACAGATTTTTTTTCTACTCCAAGCACAACTATATCAGTACCTCGGATTCCAACCTGTCGAGTGATTAAAAAAAAACATAATTAGCTGTCAGTTTTAACATTAAAATGAATTTTATTCTAATACATATGTTGTAGGAAAAGCTTTTATCTAACCATTCAATAAAACTGAGAAAAGTAAACTTCCAAGAAAACAGCTGGATAGGTACATGATTACTAGAAGTCCATTCTCCAAACCCAAAGCAATTAAGACAAGTAGGTAGGAATTGGAAGAATATACCACAAATGCCGAAACTAGATGAGTGTCCTAACTCAAAGAATACGCCTGAAGAAGTACTAACTATATATAGAACAATTTTAACCAAAATGAAAGAAAATGCTGGGAATCCATATGGATTCCTTATAGAATGGGCAATACTAGTATTGGTGGTAGAGGCAGTATAGAAAACTAAGTAGATAAAATTCTGAAAGCTCTCCCATATATCTCAAAATTTGTAGGGATAATGCTTGGGGGCCATAAGCAGCCAAGAGAAAGACCAAATGCACTCACTCTAGTTCAATGATCAATAAAACCTCATTCCAAACATGAATACAAGAGGAATCACTATTGTTCCTCCCTCTACTCTTTCCCTTGGGAGTGAAGTGGGAAAATGTTTTAAGAATAATGTGTAAGGATAATAGTTCTCAAATTGGGACTTCTGTAGAAACCTGCCCATATTCTCAGGGGTAATCTATGAGAAGTTTAATTCTGTATTACAGTGGTAATCTAAATACTTTGATATAGGTATTTGTTATTTTTTTAAAAAGGTTTTATTTATTTGAGAGAGAGAATGTGTGTGTGTGTGTGTGTGTGTGTGTGTGTGTGTGTGAATGAGGTGGGAGGTGGCATGACCTGAGCCAAAGGCAAACACTTAACCAAGTGAGCCACCCAGGGACCCCTTGGTATAGGTATTTATGTTTATGATTGCTGTGTAGCTAAGTGTGATATTGGTACTCACTATGCAAATAGATGTGCTTTGAATTAGTATCACTTAAATAGAAATACAGAACAGGTTAAATACAGAACTAGACCTGGAATTACCTCTTTCAATTAAATAAAACTTAAGATAATTTATAAAGGCTTTTTCCCTTTCTGTTCCCTCACTTCATTCCAGTCTGTCAGTTTATCTGATAGGTCTTTCCCTAATCATCCTATCTAAAATCAATAGCTCTCCATTAACACTCCCACCCTCATCTAAAAGACTCATGTTAAACTTTATAGCCTATATGGATTATGCCTTCTTATCAAGCCATGAGACATCATAACAATATAATATATTATGACTCAAGAAAATCTCAGTATTTTTTCCAAACTTGTAATAAATTGATCACTACATAGAATTTTTAGAATTCTCACTTAAACAGTTTTGACTTAATAAAGAAATTAAAACTTCCAATACAGACTATCTAGAAAATGTTTATAATGAAAATCCTAATATCAAAGTCTTTTAGTGTGGGTAAAACTATTCTCAGAAGAAAATGCATAATCTCATTTTATAAAATCAAATTAAAAATTAATTAAGAGGTTCAAAAAGGAATAAAAGTATTTAAGCTTACAGGGTAAAATAAGGAAAAAGCAGAAATTAATGATTATGGAGAAAACAATAAAACTGATAAGTAATACCAAGAAATAGTTTTTTTAAGATAATGAAGAGATGGCTCAGTTAATCTAACCAAGAGGGGCAAGTGTAAAAAATGTATACAAGTGTGAAAAATCAAGAATTTAAACATTGTAAGTCTAAGCTAACCAATGTGAAAACCTGACTGAAAAGGATGACAGACTAAATTCAAAATTGCCCATGCAGACTCAAGAAAATATAGAAAACCCCAGTCTCCCTAACAAACATGGAATAATTTCAAAAACAAGTGTCATGCCTGGAAGGTTCATGGATGAATTTTTCCTGATCTTCTGTTATGGGTAATTCTTATGTCATTTAAATTATTCCATGATACAGATCAAAATGGAAAGGCTCCTCTTTTTTGGAAAGCTATGTAACAATGTTAAAATCTGGCAAATAAAACATTTTCTTTTTTTCTAAAAGATTTTATTTGTTTATTCATGAGAGACAGAGAGAGAGAGAGGCATAGACACAGAGGGAGAAGCAGGCTCCCTGTGGGGAGCCCCATGTGGGACTCCGTCCCAGGAGTCCGGGACCACACCTGGAGTGGAAGGCAGACGCTCAACCGCTGAGCCACCCAGACATCCCTAAAACACTTTCTAGGTAAAAAAAAGTACTAATGGGATCCCTGGGTGGCGCAGCGGTTTGGCGCCTGCCTTTGGCCCAGGGCGCGATCCTAGAGACCCGGGATCGAATCCCACATCGGGCTCCCGGTGCATGGAGCCTGCTTCTCCCTCTGCCTGTGTCTCTGCCTCTCTCTCTCTCTCTCTGTGACTATCATAAATAAATAAAAAAATTTAAAAAAAAGTACTAATGATTTTCACTTAGGAAGAAAATTGATGTCAAAAATTCTTTTAGCTGATGTCAAAAATTCTAAACAAGATATTTACAAATAGAATCTACCAATACAGGAAAACAGTAATATACCATAAACATTTACAGTTCTTTCTGAGAATTTTAGGAATGTCAATAAAAGTAAATCTTTTAATATAAATGTTAGAACAATGTGGAAGATCTGTTATTTTTGCCCTTCTGATAAAAACAGCAATTCAACTGTTCTTGGAGAAATACTCAGTCTTTAACTGAGGCTGTAATGTAGCCCAGCCTCATCAAACAGTAAGTCCTTAAAGTTTTGCTGAAAGTGTTTGGAAGACAGGATAATTGTTTACCTATTGCTAGGAGCCTGGGTCCCAGGACTATTTAGGAGCCACCTCTTGGAAAGGTCACATCTGAGAGTGAAAGTAATAAGGAGGAAGCAAGAGATGGAGAAGGAGATAGAGGAAAGGAGGAGAAGAAAAACAGACACCTACCAGTTCTGGGGATATCATTTAAGACCCTACTAGCCATATAATTGAGCCTAAAAGGAAAGTTTACTCCTGCTCCCTTTGGGTAAGGGAGTAATACAGATGATCCTTGAACAATATAGGGGTTAAGGATGCCAACCATATCCCTTCATGCAGTTGGAAATCCACGTTATAACTTTTGACTCCCCCAAAACTTAACTAATAGCCTATCGTCACCTGGCAGCCTTACTGCTAACATCAACAGTTGATTAATACATATTCTGCATGTTATATGTATCATATACTGTATTCTTACAATAAATTAAGGTAGAGAAAGAAAATATTAAGAAAATCATAAGAAAAAAAGAAAATCATAAGGAAGAGATATACATTTATGGTACTATATTGTAAAAAATTTGAGAATAAGTGAATCCATGTAGTTCAAACTCATCCTCAGTTTTTGTTTAAATCAGTTTGAGTTGGCTTTCTGATGCCTGTAACTGAAATAGTCCTGACTAAAACAATTAAATAGCAGAAAGCAAATGATAAAAGCTATAAAAGCATTTGATAAAATTCAACACCCACACCTAGTTTAAAAACAACACTGAAAAGCAGGAAGACTATATTTGTAAAGACTATTTCATAACTTGTTAGAAGTATCACAGACTTGTGGTGGTATCTCTCCCATTCAAGTGTATGTATGGGGGTGACAACTGGGTAGAAGCCAGTGGCACAGGTGATAAATTAATTCACTAGAAGCAGAACAAAGGAGATAGAGGTTTATTAAATATATTGCGAAGGAGTAGCGAGCAGAACAGTAAAGGAGAGGCTGTCTGCCAGGAGGCAGTGGGTGGGGGCCATATTTGAAGGGGCAAGGTGAGGGGGCATCTGGGTGGCTTAGCTTAGTCTGTTAAGCATTCAACCCTTGACCTCAGCTCAGGGCTTGATCACAGGGTTCAAACCCCATGCTGGGATCCATACTGGATGTGGAACCTACCTATAAAGTAAATAAAATAAAATAAGGGGTGCCTGGGTGGCTCAGTCGGTAAGCATCCGACTCTTGATTTCAGCTCAGGTCATGACCTCAGGATCCTGGGTTCAAGCCCTGCATCAGGCTCCATGGTCTGCATAGTGTCTGCTTGAGATTCTCTCCCTCTGCCCTTCTCCCTGCTTGAGCGTACTCTCTCACTCAAACAAATAAATAAAATATTTAAAAAATAAAATAAAAAATAAAAATAGGGGTGCTTGGGTGGCTCAGTTAAACATCTTCCTTTTGGTTTGGATTGTCCTCTTGGGGTCTGGGGCTCGATCCCCATGTCAGGCTCCCTGCTAGGCAGAGAGCCTGCTTCTCCCTCTCCCTCGCCTGCTGCTCCCCCTGCTTATGCTATCAAATAAATAAAATCTTTAAAAATAATTTAATTAAAATAAATAAAATTAAGGGGGAAGGTGAGGAGGTAGAGGGACATATGGAATTTTCCCCTTTTTAAACTGTGCCTGGTTGTAAGTAGCCCATTGATTAGTTATGGCCTATGGATATTTTGAGGGGGGTTGCCTGATGGGCCTGTCTGTATTCAGCCAGGAGCCTAGGGGTCACTGTGGGCCCTTTTGCTTTGATCAAGTTTCCGTTGCTCAAGCCTGTTGTTGGTCTCAACAAAACTGGCAGCCAGAATCATCTGAGAAAATGAGTCATCGTCCATTCTAATGTTCAAGTCAAAAACCCAGTTATCCTTTATAGCTCCTCCTCTCACACCATCCATTTCCAATCAATTACCTTGTTTTTGTCCATTTTACCTACAAAAGTTATCCAACTTCCCAACAACACTCTAGTATAAGCAACCATCATTTCTTGCCTGGACTATAAAGGACTGCATAGCCTAATAGATTTTTCACTTTGTACTTTTCTACTCTCTCCACCTCTCCATCCTCCCACCCTCATCCCATACTGCGATCTAGTCTTCACAAGACTGCCAGGGTGAACATTTAAAAACTTGAGTAGGGTCAAATTGCTCTCCAGTTGAATATCCTTCCACAGCACTCCACTGCACTTAGAAAATCTTTTTAAACTCTTTAGTCTTTCCTATAAAGCTGGGCATGATCTAGCTCCTGCGTATTTCTC